CACCATCGGCGACTCCGAAGGGTGCGAACTGCAAAGGTTATGGCCTGCAACCAGCACCCCTGCGGGGCGGGCGGGGACCCCGACGGAGTTCTCCGCCGCGCGCCGAGGAGGCCCGACGAGGACAGCGTCGTGCCCCCCAGGCCTCAAAGGCGACGATCGCAAACCACACCCGCGGCGTAACCACACCCTCAGCAGTCGCCGACGCCAGCCGCGGCGCGTAGTCCGAGAACCGCCCGGGGATGCATCCATATTCGGGAGCGGCCAAGAGGGGGGTGTCCAAGAGGGGGGGGTGCAAATCATGACCGGCGGCATGTGCGCGGCCCAGCGGGGGGGCCAGGGACGTAATGAAATAAGAAGAGGCGCCATGAAATCTGGGGAAATATCATGGCCCACGCCATGAGATCCACCCCCCCTAGTCATCACCCCCCTCTTTGCCGCCCCCGACATATCCACCGCCTGTGGAACCGACGCTCTGGGACCCCCGCGGGCGGTGGAAGTGGATACACCTGGGCCCCAGAGGGCCCGACTCGATATCCACCGCCTGCCGAGGTCTCCGAAAGTCGACCCGGCAGGCGGCGGATCTGCAGAAATCCCCGCCTCGGGTGCAGGGCTGGCCGGGATGACCCCCGCCTGTGGAGCCGACGCTCTGGGACCCCGGCGGGCGGTGGCGTGTCCACCGCCTGCCGAGGGCTCCGAAGATCGATCCTCCAGGTGGTGGGTCTGAATCAGTCCCCGCCTCGGGGTGCAGGGCTGGCCCGGGCAGGCGCACCCCGTCGCGGCGCGCAGGCCGGGGGGGCGCCCCGGGCAGGCGCGGGGCGCACCTCACCGGGTCCATCAGCAGCTTGCCGTCCAGCGCGCAGGCCAGCTCGGGGGGCACGCCGCCGAGCAGGTCCTCGGATCCGCCCCCCCTAAAAAAAGGAAGCATCTCCACATTCAGACCGATGTGAACGCATGCATGCCTATTCAGCTACGCGCAAGAATCACCCCTGGCAGGAGTGGCCATCTGGTGCGAGGCCCAAGGGCGGGCCCCTTGGGGACGCTACCAGGCGCGCAAGCCGCTGATACCGCATCGCATTCAGCCATCGGGGGGCCCCAGCGGGCCCGCACCCAAAGGTCACTCCGGCGAAAGGTCACTCTTACGGGGAGTCGATAAATACCATGCCCACAAGCCTTGGGGGGGAGACGAGGGTCCTGGCCGTTGGTCTGGTCTACAAGATTCCCTCCTTGGGGCGTGGTTTTTGTTTCCTAAACGTGGCCCCCGCGGCGGAATCTGACTGGGGCAAGAAGGGTGCGGTATTCAGAAAAATCTTGAGGATCGAAGGTCTAGAACCCCATGTTGCCAAGTCGATCAGCGAACTGCCTCCTGGTCGGTCATCGAGACGGCGCTCGGCGACCGCAGTTTTTCTGGCCTGCGCCTGCTGGGTCCCAGGGCGCTTTCGCTACAAGGTGTTTTGGTCCAGGGGGTTCTGTCCACCCCCGATCTGGGGGAGGAACGGGGGAGAGGAAAGATAGCGATACCGCTGCTGCCCAGACTTCTCCCGGAGCGCGTTCTGACGAGGACTTCGAGGCGAATCTGGCCGCGGCGGCGAGAGAAGAATACGGTCGCCGTGCTGCCACAGGGAGCGCCGAGTACGGAACGAAGGAGCCGAAGGAGCTCTTCTGGCCACGGCGAGTCCATCTGCGACCTGTTCACCACAACCGGCCTCCCCAACAAGGAAGGCCCTCCCAGGTGGGCAGTAGCATACTCGACCACCGAAACCAGAGTCGGCCTCACAAGAATATGCGTTATACCCTCTGCGATCAATGGAACGGGGCCCTAACAAGAGGAGCCAACCCTGAGCCCAAAGTTTTGGCGTCTCCCAGACATCATCCCAAACTACAACCCACGATGCATCCAAAAGCACTGGGACCGCGAACCGTAACAGCAAAGCCGCCGCGCAGCCTGCGACAGAGGAGCGTCTGCCCAGCAAGGAAAGCAGCACACAAAGGATGATGATGATGATGATGATGATGATGATGATGATGATGATGAGGAGGAGGAGGAGGAGGAGGAGAAGGAGGAGGAGGAGGAGCAAAGGAGCCAACGTGGTCATTCTAGAGGCCTCCCAAGTGGGCTCCGACTATTATATGGGGTTGGAGGAATCCGCCGCATCACCGATGCATCGGCGATGCACCAGCAATGCACCGGCGACGTCGGCGGTGCATCGGCGCAGTCAGCGTGGAGAAAATCGGGCTCCACATCGAGCCGTATCGCCGATGCATCGGTGATGCGGCGCGAATGTTCAACCCTATCTACTCGGACTCCATAGGGAGGCCTCGACATTACCGCAGCGCCCTGACTGTATCGGTATACCTTTGCCCGAAGTTCGGCGGCGCGCCAGGGGGGAAAAAAGAGGGGGCATGCCTTCTCAGAAGGCGGCAGGGCTTCTCAAAAGCCTTCGGTCATTCCGAGAAGTCGTCTCTGTCTTGAGAAAGGGCTGAGAACACTTTTCCGAAGGCAAGAGGCCTTGAGAGCCTACTGAGAAGGCCCGCCCCCTCTGCATCCCCCGCTGGCCTGGCCGCCTCCGCCGCGGAGAGGAGGAGGAGGAGGAGGAGGAGGAGGAGGAGGAGGAGGAGGAGGTGGAGGAGGAGGAGGAGGAGGAGGAGGAGGAGGAGGAGGAGGTGGAGGACGAGGTGGAGGAGGAGGTGGAGGCAGAGGGGGAGGAGGAGACGGAGGTGGAAGAGGATGTGGAGGAGAGGAGGGGGAAGATTAGGAGGAGGAGAAGTTCAAGAAGAACCAGAAGAAGGCGAAGAGCGGGAGGGAGAGAGGAGGAGGAGGAGGAGGAGGAGGAGGAGGAGGAGAGGGAGGAGGAGGCGGAGGAGGAGGAGGGGGAGGAGGAGGAAGAGGAGGAGGTGGAGGCGAAGGCGGAGGCTGTGGAGGAGGAGGAGAAGGAGGAGGAGGAGGAGGAGGCGGAGGCGGAGGCGGCGGAGGAGGAGGAGGAGGGGGAGGTGAAGCAGGAGGAAGAAGCGGACTCCACCCACCCAACCCGGGCTCGCCGCCGAATACCGAATACCTTTTCCCCCCTCCGAGGTCCCGCAGGCTCTGCACGCCTGCCGCCTCCGCCAGCAGCGAGGGCGCCGCGGCCGCGGCCGAGGCCGCCGGGGTACCCTCGAGGCCGCCGCCGCCGACGACGCGAGTCGATGAAGACGACGACGACGACGACGACGACGACGACGACGACGACGACGACGACGACGACGACGACGACGACGACGACGGCGACGGTGACGGCGACGGCGACGGCGACGGCGACGGCGACGGCGAGATCGACGACGCGAGTCGGCCTCCGCGGCGTCCGCAGGGCGCTCGCCGCCGAGCGCCAGGCCCCATGGCGCCAGGCCCTCGGCGCGCAGGGGCCCGCGCCAGGCGCCGAGGCAGCCGGCCACCTCCGCCTGAAGCGGCCCGGCCCCGAGCGCGGCGGCGAGCGCGTCGGCGGCGGGGCCTCGGAGGAGGAGGAGGAGGAGGAAGGAAAGGAGGAGGAGGAGGAGGAGGAGGAGGAGGAGGAGGAGGAAGGAAAGGAGGAGCTGGGCAGCGTCGGGCGGATCCCCACAGGGACAAGATTGGACAGGGATAACTCGGGGATCTCCGAGATCCAGCGGTTCCGGAGGATGTGTCGGGCGCGGCGACCCTCCCAGAGCGTTCCAGAGCTCTCCCAGAGCGTTCCGGAACGCTCTGGAACGAGTTACCCCTGCCCCAGCCCCGCCCGACATCCCTCTGGCCACATCCGCATCCCCACCAGTTTTCATCGGCTCGTGGAGGTCTTCTCTCGGGATGCGTTCCAGCAGCTGCGCCCCGTCGAGGACTTTTTCCGACGGCTGCCCGAAGATCGCCCCGATCGGCCCGCGAAGGCCGGAGAGGTAGCCCGAGAGCAGCCGGGCGGGCCCTGGCCCCGCTGGCCGACTTAAACCCCCTGGGCGGGGATATGTATGCCATACCCTTTGGCTTTCGCCGGGCCTGTCCCCACCTGGGGGGGCGGGCTGGTGGAGCTGAGATACAATGATAATGTATAGTAAGGACGAGTGGCAAGGACGCAGGACCCTTGGAGGCCGAACTTGGGAGGTTCTGGGCGGCGGGCGGCCAAGCCCCAAGGTACCCTGAGAGGCTGGCCAGTGGAAACGGCAAAGGACGGGCCGCAGAGGCAAGGACACGAGGGCACCCCAGGGAAGGCGCGCGTCCTTACCATGCGCGTTGACTGTACCATGGCCCCGCGGGGATGGGGATCGGTTAGGCGATGCTGAGGACCGTCGCCAGGCGCCAGGGCCGAGTTCGCCGCGAAAGCGACGACCGCCGCCAGCGACCTCTCGGAGGGCGAAGACTTCGGCTGACGAAGATCAGCAGGAGATGAACTTGTCCGGTATCGGTGGCGCCTGTCCCGGGGCTGCTGGGAAATCGACACCCCGACGTCCCACCGTAGGGGTACAAACTTCCCAGCCGCCCTGGGGCTGACGTCCCCGATGGCGGAACAAATGCTGCATCCATTCTTCGTCCGCTGTATGGGGTCGGAGGATTGCGCCGACGTCGCCGATGCATAGGCGATGCATCGGCGATGCATCGGCGCCGCTTGCATGGAGAAAGTAAGGCCCCACATCGAGCCGCATCGCCGATGTTTCTGCGATGCGGTGCGGCCCTGTCCCCATCAACACGGATCCCATGCGAGAGGACCGACGCGGTACGAGCAGACAACCACATGGACCTCGAGGGGCCCATCCAGGGAACCCTATGGCGGCGACAGAGGGGCCCCCGGAGCACGGCCCAAACGCAACCGCACCCTTCAGAATAACGTCGCGGCTCTGCCCGTCTTTGGGGGGCCGGCTGCACGGCGCAAGCCTCTCGAAGAGACCTGCTCCGCCGTCGGGCACGCCTGCCCCGAGGGCGGCTGCAAGGCTCGCGCCCCCGCGGCGGCACGCAGGGGACAAAGCCCGCCAACCGCCACGGGGCAGGCGCTTCCGATGACGAGCCAGACGCTTCCTGTTTGCTCCTCCCCCCACAACTTGCAGTCGAACGCTGTGCGAACCGGAGCGTCGCTGGGCGAACTGGGAACGCCAGCCAGGCCGACCTGCAACGGAGACGCCCAGGCCGACGGGACCCTCTTGCTCGGCGGCGAGGGCAAGCGCCAACGCGGGCGAACAGCCGGCTGGCCGCGCCTTGCGGGGGCACAGTGGACGAGTGGAAGAGAAGAGGGCGGCCGCGGAGGGATGCGGGTGCGGGTGGAGGCCTCAGGCGTAGAGAGTCTTCGCCGGGAGAGGGGCGCGCAGGCGGCCACAGGCGTCGAACACTGGCGCACGGAAGGCGAGGGCGGTGCGTGTCCCACCTGAGGGGCAAGCCATGAAAACACGGTGCGCATCCAAAAAACAACAGTTGTAGGCGAACTGGGAACGCCACACACGCCGACCTGCAACAGAGACGCGGCATTGGGCGCCTGGAGATGGACACCAGCACCAGCACAGGAGGCTGCCTCCACTAGGGGAAGACGATCGAAGACGTTGGCGTTGGTGGTAATACCTCGGCTTGCTGGGAAGCCCGACCAGTACCACCATCACCGAGATCGGGATCAGTTTCTGCGGCGGAGGCACACCGCCGATATCGTTGTTGGCGCCGACCTTTAGGTCTCCGAGGGACACACGAGCACATTCCTGCTTAGAGTTAAGAGCTTAGGCTGGCAAATTGGACTTCGCACGCTGCGTGCTCTTGAACAGTAGTCCACGCACAGATCTACAACAACGCTGCGGAAAGAGACACTCCGAGGAAACTCCCAGGGCCCAGTTCAGACTCTTGATTCTCGTAAGCGAACTCTGGAATGCATGAAGGCTGATGTCTTTCTTCAAGAACATATATGCGTATTCCTTGTGCTAACAAAAACAAAAAATCAACAAAACAAAAAAAACAAACAACGAAACAACAACTCGGATGTGCGCATGTACATCGTGCCACGTTTCGCCCGCCGGGCCTCGGGTAGGCCTCGCTGGCGGCTCCGAGGAACGCCTGGACCATGCCGCCGCAGACCTCCGCGGCGGGGGGCGCGGCGTAGGCAAGCGCCGCGCAGTCCTCCACGAAGGCGCCCGCGGAGGCCTCCGCGCACGTCAGGCAGGCCGCCTCGAGGCCTGCCGAAATGCCACCATGGGGGGTGGCGGGGTGAGGACCGCAGGGGTGGGGGGAGGTTCGAGGCCCGAGGCCCCGGGGACGCACGCGTCGGCTTTGGGGAGGCCTTCTCGCCTCGGGATGATTTCCGGCAGGTACGCCTCGGCGAGGGCTTCCCGGGGCTGCCCCAATCGTCCCGATGGACCTGCGGAGGCCGGAGCTGCGACACGGAAACAGCTGGGCGTCGAGGAGAGGGGTGAGGCCTTGGCCCCGCTGGCCGACTTGCCCCCATGCCCCGAGTAGTAAAGTGTTTGAGGTACCGGAATGAACTTTCCGACTGCCCATCGGCCAGTCGGGGAGTCGACCAATTGGCCAGGGGTCGAGGAGTCGGGGAATCGGGGAATCGGCCAGTCGGGCAGTCGGCCAGTCGGGGAGGCGAGGGGAGAGTCGGAAAGCTCATTCCAGTACCTCAAAGATGTTCAAATGCCCCGGGCCACTGAGTAAGTAACCCTCAGGTAAGGAATCCATGGTCTCGAACCTAGCGGAACACCGATTGAGGCTTGGCCATGTACATCGCCGCCGCTCTCATCAGGTAAGTAAGGAACCCGCCAGGGGCCTGAAGCCTCCTGGGCACATTCATGAATGAACGCCTCCGCATGAAGGGGGGGGGCCTTGTGCCGCCAGGAGGGTCCAGCGCAGGTTCAAGAGATCTGAGCGGGCCTTCGGAAGGTTATGTCTGTGCCGCCTCCCTTCGGGCAAATGCGCCGTTCTGTTTCTTCTCGAGACGTCGGAGGTCCGCGCGATGATCCCCGCTGCCTGCGTCTGAGATGCCACGACAAGAGGAGACCGGCCCAAGAAGGGGGTGCGGAACATTGACCTGGGATCGGCGATACACTCGCCGATAGATCGCACTCGGCCATTCACCCCTGGCCTCGCGGGACAAGCGGAAAGCCTGAAAACCTACGATTCAAATGACGTCCTGCTCCTCTGACTGGGAAACCAAAATTACACTGGCGAGGGACCCGACCATGTGCAGTTGTGAGTGCCGCCGCCGCGAAAATCGCATTCGGTGGAGCTTCCCATGGGGCCACGAAGCGCGCGAAAGAAGCGCCGAAATCTGGCGGGGTCGCCATGTGGGCGCTGCCGCTGATGCCTTAGATTGAGACCACACTGGGGCCGGGAAGCGCGCGATGGGCGCGCCGAGACGCGCGAGAGGCATGCGAATACCGCGAGGGACAGCAGACGAAGGAGGGAGGCGCGCAAACTCCGAACATCGCAACAGGTGCAGCCCCTGCTCTGACACGCAGCGCGCCGCGGAAAGGGTCAGACCCAGGGCAGCGCGGGTCTGGGGGCGGCGGGCGGAGCAAGGGGGCCGGCCGGCCCGGCAGCCCGATCCCCGGCCTGGCGAAGCCTGGCGCTGAAGAACACCGATGCGGCTGGCGGGCCTCGGGGTCCTCGGCGCCGCCGTCGCCGGCACTCGGGCCACGGAGGTCCGCCGAAGCGGATCACGTGCGGATGTGACCCGTTGCGGTCGACGGGCCCCGGGAGCAGCGAGCGCGCGGCGCGAAGGATGACGCGGAGAGACGCCCAGATGATATGTTTGCTCTCAGGCGTCAGAGACGCCGATGCCGTCGCAAGATGTCCAGCGCGCGATCTGGCGGCGCGGCGAGTCGAGAGGGGCGCGTTCTCTGGCGTCGCCCCGCGGAAACGAGCGAGCAGGCCGACGCATGTCAGTTATCCCCCATGGACCCTGGGGGGGGTCCTGAATCCCGTTTTGGAAAATTTTCGGGGGTGGGAGAGAGGACGAGGACGATGCGAATGAGGACGGTGAGTAGGAAAGGCAAAGGCACGGGGTAACCGCGGAGGGAAGCGAGGAGCGAGGAGCGAGGAGCGAGAGGGGCACGAGGACGAAGGGACGCCGCGATCAAGCCGCGATCAGGCAACTCAACCGAATCGGCCCTGCGTGGCGCGTGGGGGCCCTCGCCAAATCGCAGTACACGCATTAAAGACTCACGGGAGGCGCGCACGTCGAATCAGGACGAATGAGTTCACTGTGGCTTGCCAGTGAAAGTTCCTCTGTCCCCCTTCTCCTCCTCCCCCATACCCCTTCCGCCGGAGGGCGGCCTTCGGTGCAGCTCCCTATGAGGCCACGAAGCATGTGAAGGGTGTGCCAAAGTGTGGGGGGGGCGCATGCGGGCGCAGCCACTGGGGCCTGCGGTGGAGCTCCCTGTGGGGCCACGAACCGTATGAGGGGTGTACCAAGGTGAAGGAAGTGGCGGCATGCGAACGCAGCCACTGGGGCCTTCGGTGGAGCTCCCTATGGGGCCACGCAAAGTGTGAGGGGTGTGCCAGAGTGAGGGCGGTGGCGACATGCGAACGCAGCCACTGAGGCATTCGGTGGAGCTTCCCATGGGGCCACGGAGCGTGCTCAAGGGAGGGGGGTGGCGGCATGCGAACGCAGCCACTGGGGCCTTCGGTGTAGCTCCCTGTGGGGCCACGAAACGTGTGAGAGGTGTACCAAAGTGAGGAGGGTGGCGGCGTGCGAACGCAGCCACGAAGAACTTAGGTGGAGCTCCTTATGGGCCACGAATCGTGTGAGGGGTGTGTCGAAGTGAGGGGGGAACGGCATTCGGGCGCAGCCACTGGGTGCTTAGGTGTAGCTCCCTGTGGGGCCACGAAACGTATGAGGGGTGTCCCAAGGCGAAGGAAATGGCGGCATGCGAACGCAGCCACTGGGGCCTTCGGTGGAGCTCCCTGTGGGGCCACGGAACGTGTGAGAGGTGTGCCACAGTAAGGGCGGTGGCGACATGCGAACGCATCCACTGAGGCATTCGGTGGAGCTTCCCATGGGGCCACGGAGCGTGCTCAAGGGAGGGGGGTGGCGGCATGCGATCGCAGACCCTGGGTCCTTCGATGTAGCTCCATATGGGGCCACGAAATGTGTGAGGGGTATACCAAAATGGAGGGCGGGCAGCATGCGAACGCAGCCACTGAGGCCTTAGGTTGAGCTCCCGATGGGGGCACGAAATGAGTGAGGGGGTGTGCCAAAGTGAGGGGGTGGCGGCATGCGATCGCGGCCACTGGGTCCTCCGATGTAGCTCCATATGGGGCCACGAAATGTGTGAGAGGTATACCAAAATGACGGGCGGGCAGCATGCGAACGCAGCCACTGAGGCCTTAGGTTGAGCTCCCTATGGGGCCGCGAAATGTGTGAGGGGGGGTGCCAAAGTGAGGGGGTGGCGGCATGCGAACAAAGACACTGGGGCCGTAGGTGGAGCCCCCAATGGGGCCACGAAGCGTGTGAGGGGTGCGCCGAAGCTGGAGCCGATGACGATGATGGCGATGATGACGGCGATGGTGCTAATGATGGCGATGATAATGATGATGAAGACGATGATGGCGCGCATGTTATGATGATGGTGATGACGATTATGATGCTGATGATGATGATAATGATGGTGATGACGATGATGATAATGATGGTGAGCATGACGATGGTATTGATGATGATGATGATGCTGATGATGATGACGATGATGATGGTGATGATGATGATGATGATGATGAGGATGATGATGAGGATGAGGATGAGGATGAGGATGAGGATGAGGATGACGATGATGATGATGATGATGATGATGATGATGATGATGATGATGATGATGATGATGATGATGATGATGCTAATCATCACGACGAGGACATGCATGGGGCACAGGCACAGGCGAGAGGAGGGAGGGGGCGGAGGAGGAGGAGGAGGAGGAGGAGGAGGAGGAGGAGGGGGAGGAGCAGGAGAAGGAGGAGGAGGAGGAGGAGGAGGAGGCGGAGAAGAGGAATGCGGGGCGCTGTCTCTTCAAAACGAGGACCCAACACCCTAGGATGGTTGGACAAACACCGACACCGCTGCTCCTCAGACCTCTCCTGGGGTGCGCCCAGACCAGAAATCCGAAGGGAATTCACATGTGGCGTGGCGACGAGGGTGGGGTAGCTGTATCGGTATGCGTTCCTCCCCTGTGAGGCTCAGGGGGGATAGGGGAGACATCGACCTGGCATCGGCGATACACTCGCGGATAGGTCGGCGATAAAGACCCCGATAGCGGAAAACCGCGCGCCTCCTGGCGGGATGAGGCTATCGAACTCCCTATCGGCGATCAGCGATTCGGGATCGATGCATCCCCCCTGAGCATATCCTCCCCCTGACGTTGCCCCCCTCGTTGTCGGGCCATTAATCGGCTCCCCTGCGGCTGTACGGGACGATCTGGGCACCTCGGGAACGCCCGCGGCAAGGCGCAGCTGCTAAAACACATCTCGAGGTTGGAAAGCTGCCGGGGACCGACGAAAATACACAAACACTCAAATCTCGAACCTCGAACCCCCGCTGGGCTGACAGCAGGGGCATTGGATAGGGAACCTTTGGATAAGGAGCCCAGGGCCTGGAAGCACCTGAGCGGCAAGTGATGTTTGGCCATGGACATCACCGTCGCCCTAATCAGAAAAGGAACCCTCCAAGGTCTGAAGTCTCCTGTGCACATTCCTGAACGAACGCGCCCACCCTGGCCGTCGCTCGGACGTCCATTTCAAGTGCATCTTTCGGCTTCGTGCGTGTATCTTCTGCCGAGGGGACCCACATTGCTCCCCGATGGCCCTCGCCGAGACAAGCATGCGCACACGCCCGAGAAATGCCGCGCACTGTGCTCGACCCTGCCTCGACCCTGCCCGTGGCCTGCCCACAGCTCCCCCGAGCTCTCGAGTAGCCGCTCCCCGAACACCCGGCTCTGCTCCAGCGCCCCGGCCGCCGCGCGGTCCAGCACGGTCTCCCCGGCGGGCTGCCGGAGCAGCGCGGCGAGGAAGGACGCCGCGCCCAGGGGCCTCGGCGAGGCGCCCACGACCCTGACCTCCTCTCGCTGGGAGAGCGGCGGCCAGCGAGGGGGGGGGGGGAGCGAGAGGGAGCTGACCTTCCCAGATGGCGGCGGGGCTCCTCCGAAGCCCTCGCGCCTTCGGAGGAGTGTGCTGCGCCTTCGGGGGAGGAGGCGCAGAAGACTGCTCAGAAGGCCGGGGGGGCTTCCGAGCCTTCTGAGGCCCGCCCCTTCTCCCCCCCCAGGGATCGCCGCCGACTCTCGCCGGGAAGCAATCGCGACGGACGGCTTGTGCCCTTTTTTTGTTTTGCCCCTGGGGGCCCTTGCCCAGCCCCGGGGCCGTTGAAAAACATTTGAATTAGGTCGGGCATGTCCTCCTACAGGCGGATTTTGGACGAAAAATAAAGAACAGTCGAAAAACAGTTTAGAAAAAAATCGAAAATAGTCAAAAAAGTCCCCATACTACTTTTTGACTTGAATTTGTCCCCCTGTAGAGGGACATGCCCGACTCAACACTTGAAAACGGCTCGGGATGAGAAGCCGGTCCCGAGGAAGGGGTCCAGACCTCTGGGGAGCCACGCTGTGGTGAAAAGATCGCGCCGTCAGATGTCTGGCGGATGGGCGGGCGCGAGGTGGGGGCGCCCTTGTGAGAAGACGGCGGAGCCTCCAAGAAGGCCAGAGGAGGCTTCTTGGAAGAGCTCCCGGCTTCCAGGAAGCCTTCGCTTGGAAGCCGCCAGGGCCCTGCTCAGAAGGCCCCTGTCTTCTGAGAAGCCCCCCGCCCTCTTGTTCTTTCGCCAGTTTTCTTCAAGGAGAAGGGCGGGAGCGGACGCAACAGCACGACGGCAAGCTCGGCGGCACCATCGCGAAGCCACTGAGCTACCCCACATGCCGTGCCCACGAGAGGAAACGAAGCGTCCAGGGTCCTCGCACCCTCTCAGAACAGAAAACGCCCCCGCCCTGCAGCAACCCTTTGTGCGCGCCGCCGGCGGGCCGCCGCCACAGCGCCGCAATGACCACGGAGACCATGTCGCACTCCACCATGGCGGTGGCCAGGCAAGCCCGGTGCACGGCCAGGGCGCAGTTCTGCTCCGCGATGGTCCGGTCGTGGTCCGGGTCGTCGGCCTGCCGGGCTTTCGGGGAGCGGACGACGGCGGCGGCAGCGGCGACGGCGGCGACGGACGACGGCGACGGCGACGGCGATGGGAACGACCACGGCGACGACGACGGCGACGGACGGCGCCGACGGACGGCGGCGACGACCACGGCGACGACGGCCTGTGCTGAGATCACCGCTGAGGTTGTTAAGGGAATGGGGAGGTTAGAACTGGGCTACAAGTGCCCCAAGTAGTTTGGGATGATAAGATAGCTCCGCGAAGTGGGCTCCGCCCAATTGGACCAAACCTGCACCCCACCCTAAACCATTTACGGCATCTGCAGCCCGTTTATAAGCTCGACTGGGCCAGCCGTAACACCCACCTTAGCATCCTTCTAAACGCCCTATCCCATTAGCAACCCCCACGGTCATCCAAGTAGGGCTCTGGGAACGGACGCCAACGACGGCGACAACCGCTACGGCGACGGCGACAGCAACGGACGGGGACAACGGCGATGGACGACGGCGAGAACGACGGCGACGGCAACGGACGACGGCGAAAGCGACGGCGACGGCAATGGACGGCGGCGACGACGACGGCAACCGCTACGGCAACGGGGACGACCACGGCGACGGCGGCGAGAGGCAGCCGACCGCCCCGAGCGCTCGGCTGCCTCTCGGCCGCGCGCGGGTCGGCGCGCTGTTCCCTCGGCACAGGGCCGGGGGCGCGGCAGATCCGCCAGTCCAAGCGTGCGCACACACACACACACTGTTTACGTCGCAGTGCAGCGGAGGCAGTCCGCACGCGCGTCCAGTCAAGACACACAAACACACACATACTTTCACTTTTGGCGCTGCGGCCACGCGCGACGCGGCACGGAGCAGAACGGGTCGAAGAAGCGCGGGTCACGCAGCGGGCAGGCGCTGGATCCACACACGCATTTTTTGTTCTTCGCCGTCGATGCGAAACCGCAGTCGCGTCGCAGCATGATCGGGGAGCGAACGTATTGATTGCCATCGTGCCCTGAAGAGAAAAGCCAACCTGCGCCGAGGGCGGCGCTCCAGTGAACGTGAAACGCGTGCGTCCTGGGGGCACGCGAAGCGTCAATAATTACAAGCAATGAGCAAACCAGTGACGCGTCCGCAGACGGACGTGCGAGCCGCGTAAGTCAAGGCAGGATCAATCAGCATCGAATCGGGAAATCGAACGGATCGGAGTGTGCGTCGGATCGGGCCGCATCGGCACGGAGTGGAAACCGAGTCGGATCGGCCGCGCCAGGATGCACAACGACGCCATGCGAGCATCGGGCCGCATCGGGTCGCTGAGACATCGGCATCGAATCGGACTGGGCCACCCAAAATCATTATCGAACCAGATCGATCGGATCGAAATTGAACCTACAAGAACGACACGTGGCAACTAATTTTGACACCCGGTGTCCCAGCGCGCAAGGGACAGGAAGGCCACGTCGGGCATGGACAGCTGGAACAGTGCCCTGAACATGGTGTCCTGGATGCTCGACAGATCGCTGGGCAAGAAAGTGTCTTCGCTGCTAAGCTGGGCATCTGGGACGACGCTGACTGACAAGATCCCTTTGGTAAGCGCCAACGCAGAGGAGGCATCATAAGTGGCCCACTCCCACAGCATTCGACCGTCCAGATTGCCGAGTCCTACGATCCGCGCGAACAGCACCACCATCCAGAGCGCCACGCTGTCCACGGCGCGATAATGCTTGGCCATCTCGTCCGCGACGGCCTGCATACAAGCGCTACCTCGGCCGCTCCTCACGCAAGCAATCGTATCCTCTGGGGAGGGACAGCGAGAGCGGCCCGATGAGGGTCTTGGAGGAGGACACATTGGATAAGGAATCCAGGTTCTGGAAGCCTGTGGAACTCCAATCTTGCCTTGGCCATAGATATCACAGCCTCCCCCATCAGACACAGTGGAGGCCCGTCCACAAGAAACCATCCACAAGGAACCCAACTCTGAGATCCCAGGACGTCCATTGTTTTTTGGTGTGGGCACGTCACGCCTTCTATCGCAAAACCGTCGAAACCCAAGAAACCCAGGGCATCCTGGAGGCAAGCAGGGTGTTTCCTGGCATGGGCCCCCACTGTATCACCGCCGCCCACATCAGATAAGGAATCCTCCAGGGTGGACCGAAGCCTGCTGGGCGCATCCCTTAACCAGCGCCTCCACCGCACGTACTGCGCCGCTGGGCGTCTGGAAGATTGGGGGGCGTCTCTCGAAGCCTGATGCAAGTACCCTGGGGCCTCTTGGCGGCGGCGTCTGGGGCGGGGCCACATCGGGGCCGTGACGCAGCGGGGGCATCCTTGAAGACCCATCGGGAGATCAAACATCGCACTGGGGCTCCCAGAAGGGCCCGAAGAGGGCCGCAGGACGGTGACCACGAAATGTACTATACTGCTGCACTGTACTGTCCTGTCCTGTGCTGTACTGTCTTGTACTGTACTGTACTGTACTGTACTGTACTGTACTGTACTGTACTGTACTGTACCCAGTGGCCAGTGGAAACACATGCCAACGCCACCTGCTCCGAACAACAAGACACGACTCAAACGATGCCTTGACGAGCCTTATCGGGCAGTTCCAGGCCAAGTCTTGCAATGAGCTGGACAGGTGCCCACTTCTCTTCCCACAAGCCTCCCGAAATCACCGCAGCTTCCGAAAGATCACTGGCTGCTTGCCCTGACTCCCGTGTGAGACGCTCCAAGCAACACAATGAGGCCCGAGGGGGTCGGGGAGCCGTGGCTCGAAACAGTCGAACCGCGCCCCCCTCCCCCCCCCCAAGACGACTGCCCCACGACTGCAGGCGGATTTCGCACGAAATATTAAACATGGCACAAGCATGTTCAAACATAGCTATTAAAAAATGGTCGAGTAATCGTCCCCAGACTATGGTTCTACTATTGCTGAATGTTCCCTCTGTAGAGGGACTTGCCCGACTGGACCATACCCCCAGGCCCCCGAAGAGAGCCCCCAGACCAGAAGACGGCGGCTGACCGCCTCCCCCCGCCCGGGCGGGCCCAGCATGGGCCCAGGACGGATGCCTGGCGTGGCCGCCCACGCTCGCAGCACGCAGCCGAGCTCCACACACAGATTGAAGACGTAGGCCTGGCGGTAGGTCGGGCGTGTCCCCCTACAGGCCGATCTTGGACGACAAAGCAAAAACACCCCCGAAAAAAAATCCAAAATGGTCAAAACATATGTTTAAAATCGTCCCCCTACTATTTTTTGACCATTTTTGAATATTCCTCCCGTCGAGGGACAGGCCCGACTCAACCCTGGCGCGACACGTTCGCCAAAACGCGGGCCAGAACGAGCCGAGCCAACACGCAGCGTGTTCAGCCCAGACCTTTGAACAAGGTGCGTGATGCGTGTCAACAAGGGCGCATCAGGGCACATGAGGTGTTTACGCCTCCCTGGCCCGGCATGCGAAGGGCTCCCAGAAACAACGAGCACGTGCGAGAACTTCCGCGACGGAGGGCGCCTTCTCAGACCGTGGAGGGCTTAGCGGCTTATGCTGTCCCTCGACTCGCGCCAGAGCGTCCACGATTTGCTCCGGATTCCCCCAGAGACTTCCAGGTGTACCTAGATCCATCCGGATGTCCCTAGATCTACCTTGATGTATCTGGCATGATCCCCGCACGTCGATTGGCGAACAGTCGGCAAGCCCTTAGGAATCAGAAAGCGTCCTTCTGATAAGAGGGGGGCGAAAAGGTACCGATACTGCTACTCCCCCGACCTCTCCCGGGGTGCGTTCTGAGCAGAATCACACCAGCCCTTTCGGGCGCGAGTGGTTTAGAGCGATGATTTGTCCAACCGCCTTCTTCCCCTTCGGGAAAGCGTTGTCGACCCCTCCTCCTCCTCCTCCTCCTCCTCCTCCTCCTCCTCCTCCTCCTCCTCCACAATTACTCAATATGAATACTATTCTCCCTCTTCCCCTGATGACGGCCTGGGAGTGTCCGACCCCCCCCCCTCCGCGTACTGTTTTTGAACACACAGGTTTCCCCGGAGTTGGGTTTTCGCCTGCATTTGTTTCCAAAATGCTGCTCTCGCTGAGGCGCCGGCCTCATTTTCGGGCCCCGCTCGTTCCGAATCGTGCTCCCGCTGCAACGCTGGCCTCATTTCCGTGCTTCCGCTCGTTCCGAATCGTGCTCCCGCTGCAGCGCTGGCCTCATTTCCGCGCTTCCGCTCGTTTCGACTCGTGCTCCCGCTGCAGCGCTGGCGTCATTTCCCGTGCCATGCCACGGGCATGCAATGCAATGCTAGGTTGATACTACGCTTTGCGGTGCTCTTCTACGCCATGCCATGCCGTGCTCTACAATGCATCGCGTACCCTTTCGGGATCATTGCCCTGCTCGACATCCGACTGTGCGAGTAGAGAGGGGACCTACGCCATGGTAAGGGATGGGAGGGAGGGGTAGAATGTCAGATATGACGCGAGCGCACCTAGCTTGTCCTCCTCCTCCGCCTCCTCCCCATACCACCCACCCCTGGACCTGGACGGGGGGGTTCGCGACCGATTGGACCGTCCAAGATGGCCTCGGCGAGAAGGCCAAAATCAACGATTGTACCTAGATCTCGGGCCCTCGAGGGGCGAGGATGGGACCCCTTCCCTTCTTTGACCGATCCCCTCCTGAGTGGCCCCAAGCTCCCTCAGAGGGCCCCAAGAGGGCCCCAAGAGGCGCCCAAGAGGCCCCCAAGAGGAGAGGCTCCCAGGAGACCCCAGAGAGGCTCCAAGGCGCTCCCCTGAGGCACCCAAGACGCTCCAAGAGGCCCCCAGGACCGCCAAGAGTTCCCCGAGACGCTCCAAGAGGACTCACAGAAGCTTCCAAGGCACATTCGAAGAGGCTCCGAGAGGCTGGCCATTCTGCTCGCCCTCCTCCTCCTCCTCCTTCTCCTCCTCCTTCTCCTCGCCATCCTTCTCTTCCTATTCCGCCTATTCCTCCTCGTCCCTCCTCCGTCCCACTCCCTTCCCCTCCCCCTGCCGTTCCTCCTTCGATTCCTCCTCCAGTATCCCCCTCTTTAGGTATGACGGCTTCCCCAATCCCCGATTCCACTGCATGCTCCTCCGCATCCCTGACCAGGGCAACCCGCCTGGACATCGTTTCTGGATGGGATGGTGGGACAACGTAAAGCGTCAAGAATATCATGGAGAATCCAGCCGTGGCGACGAGTGCCTCCCAGGAGCCCCAAGAAGACGAAAGCGAGGCGAGGGTAGCGGTATCGGTACCCGTTCCTAATCTGACCTCCTCCCCGCGATCCCTCATGCGGCACAGGCCGACGAACAGCTCCACCAGCAGCGCGTCCAGCTTGCGAGCGACGTCCTCCAGGATCGGCGCCAGGGCGCCGTCGCGCGCTGGGCTGTCGCAGCCCGGAAGCAGCAGCTCCGCCAGGGCGATCAGGGCCTCTTCACGGCGCGCCTCCTCCTTCTCCTCCTCATCCTTCTCCTCCCTCTCCGATCGTATTACATGGTATTGTATCGTACTGTGTTGCATTTACTGTATGGCATCGTCTCGTATCATATCGTAGTGCATTGTAGTGTATTGTATTGTACTGCATTGAATCCCAAGGCATTGTATTGTAATGTAGTGGATTGCGTTGTAGCAGGTTGTATTGTATTGTATTGTATTGTATTGTATTGTATTACGTGTATTGTATTGTATTGCGTTGTGTTGTATTATACGGTGTGAGATTCCCCCATCAGAGCTTGCCTCTGTTGGGGTCCTAGCGGGTTCATATGTTTACGTGAGGTTTGCCACCGATTTCCGCGGCCCGCCCCGGTGCCCGGGGTGCACAGGTGCCTTATAGCCCCACAGCCCTTTAGCCCTATAGCCCTACAGCCCTATAGCCTTATAGCCCTATAGCCCCATAGCCCAAATAGCCCTATGGCCCACTAGCCCTATAGCCCTACAGCCTTCTAGCCTTCTAGCCCTATAGCCCTATCGCCATAGAGCCCTATAGCTCAATAGCCCTATAGACCTATAACCCTTTAGCCCTATAGCCCTATAGCCCTATAGCCCTATAGCCCAATAGCCCAATAGCCCTATAGACCTATATCCCTATAGCCCTACAGCCGTATCGCCCTATAGCCCTATAGCCCCATAGCCCTATAGCCCCATAGCCTTATCGCTCTGTAGCCTTGCCATAGCCCTATATCCCTACAGCCCTTCAGCCACATGATCCTATAGCCCTATAGCCCCATAGCCCTATATCGTCGTAGCCCTGAAGCCATCTAGCCATGTAGCCCCATAGCCCCATCGCCCAATAGCCCAATAGCCCCATAGCCCTATAGCCGAAACATGACTTTGATTGAGGCTTCTCTCCGGTATCATTGTACTGTAGTGTAGTGGATTGCATTGGATTGTATTGCATTGTATTGGATTGTGTTGTATTGTAGTGTAGTGCATTGCATGGTATGTACGTATGCACATATGTACACATGTACGTATGTACGTATGTACGTATGTCAATACGTATGGACGTATGCCTATATATAAATATATATACACGTATGTACGTGTGTACGTTTGTGCGCATGCCAGTATGTACGTCTATGCGTACGTACCCACGTACGCACTTATGTATGTATATATGTGTAAGTATGTGCGCATGTATATGTGAATGTACGTAGGTAAATGTGTATGGATGTTTGTATGTATGTATGTATGTATGTATGTATGTATGTATGTATGTATGTATGTGTGTTTGTTTGTGTGTATGGTTGTATGCATGTGTGTATGTATGTAGGTAAATGTGTATGGATGTATGTATGTATGTATGTATGTATGTATGTATGTAGGTCGGTCGGTCGGTCGGTCGGTCGGTCGGTCGGTCGGTCGGTAGGTAGGTAGGTAGGTAGGTAGGTAGGTAAATAGGTAGGTAGGTAGGTAGGTAGGTAGGTAGGTAGGTAGGTGTGTAGGTGTGCTATGTACGTATGTGTATGTATCTGGGGCAACGGGCAACCGGGGGCGGGGAACCCGAGGAGCCCCGGGGAAGCCGACGAACCTCCGGGAAACGGGCAGCGTTAAAGTATGAGGCACCCGGGGCGGGGAGCCCGAGGAACCCGAGGAGCCTCCGGGCAACGGGCAGCGTAAGAATACGAGGCACCAACCTCCCACACAGTAAGAGCCCCTCGGGCAAACCTGCTCGGGGAAAAAAAACAGCTGCTTGCGACGGGGCGCCTCGCCCGCGGAGCGGCGCGGCCGCCCGGCCTCCGCGGCCGCCGCCCGCGGAGGTCAGTGGCCTGCACGCGCTGGGCTGCGGCACCGCCATCGCCAGCACCGCGCCGGCGGCCGATGCCGAGACGGCGGAGGCGGTGCAGAAGGCCATCGCGACGTGCGGCATCCAGCGCGGCGCAGAAGCACATCCTAGCACTGTGCGCCCTCCGCGGATCCGCCCGTGCGAACCGAACGTGCAGTGTAGACATCTTGTAGCGCATCGTTGCCCGAGCAGTATGGTCAGAAAGCGCCCACCACGGAGTTTACACTGTAAAGTTTCTCGGCGCGCGCTTCGCCCCTGGGGTGCAGACGCATGCATTGTATTAGTAGGATTGGGTAATGCGGGCAGACGGCGATCGCGACGTGCGACTTCCAGGTGCGCGCCTCGAGTGACGAACCTCGAGCCAGGGGCGCCACCCAAAATGTGCGCGCGACCTGCGCGAAGAGAGGCTGGAGACCAGACCTGGCCTCTTCGAGAAGAAGCCGGCTCGACTCCGAGCTGCGCAGGAACACCATCTACGAGGAGGGGGGGAGGCCGAGGAGGGAGGGCATGCATCCGCATGCCCAGAAACATCCCAATGCTGTCAGGCTCTTCACTGGAGCGCTGGCTTCACAAGCAAACCTGGCACCCATCAACCATCAAGGATCTCCACAAATTGTCCTGCCCGCTCCGCAACCTGCAGGTGAGGCTTAAGGCGCTGCACCTGGCATAGCACCGACCCGCGCCTGGCCGCAGCGCGACCGTGCAAGGAGCCTAGCGGCTGCCTGGACGACGCTATCAAGCGGGATGCATGGCGACCATCCCTAACGGTGATGGCTCAATCTACTCGCAACTGCACTCGCGATGGCTCCAATAACCAGACATACGTAAATATACATACATATACACATATCCATACACATGTAGATACACCTAGATGTATACATATACATACGTCTACATACGCACATACACATATATAAGCATGTACAAGTACGTAAGCATAGACATATACATATACGTATACATATACATATACAGATGCGTATGGGGGTACAGATACTTGCACATTTAGAGATGCACATGACCATACTCAGGCTCATACCAATACCTGTTCATATACATTTGTATACACACATACATTAATATATACATAAGTTTCAACACATGTGCACATCTAGATATACATATGCACATGCCCATTCACATATATACATATATACACATACATACATGCATAGATGTCTGAACGTATGTATACATACATGTGTATACACATGTACAGAGTCATCTTTACATACGTATACATACAAGTGTTCATGCACATATAGATGTGCATATCCATGTACCCAGTTACATTTACGTAAGCCAATGCACAAACATGCATACACAAAAACACGTACGACACCATATACATGCACGCATACAAAAAAATGCATATATCTATCCAGATTTAAATGTATGCGCAGGCATGTCTGCGCATATGCAAGCGCAAATACATGCACACACCCGTAGTACCTACACTTACATTTACGCATACACATCCAATCCACATATACACACAATCATGTACACACAAATCGTGCCACACATCTACATATACATATACATAAACATACTTATATAAGCATGCAAATACCCGCGCAACAACCGAGGACTGTACACATACCTATACATATACATCTACACATATACATAGACATACATCTGCAACAAGTCACATACCTGTATACGCATACATCTAAATACAATTACACACGTACGCATAGACCTACAAGTATACATACAGACACACACATACAAATACATATACACATACTCTCAATTGCCCTCGCGATGGCTCCAGTAACTGGACATACGTACATATACATACACCTTCACAGTTACGTGTACACATACTGACGTATATACATATGCACGTGCTTGCACAACCCAAACCATCTACGTATGCATAAAGGTAAACTGGTCCAGATGCATGTTTATGTACATACGCAAATGCATACTCATGAACCTATGTATGTATACATCACCCTGCATTCACCGACATGTAGATATACGCACATATCTTACAGCATATACATATGCATACACATATGCATCCACCTATACATACACACAAACATAAACATACACGTGTACGCGTACATAAACAGATACACATACCCATACGCATACAACGCTACCTCTTCATATACACGTACACACATCTGCAGACATATGTACACATGTGTATAATATATGCATACATACATGTACCCATATGCATATATATATATATAAATGTATACACATACATGTTAACAACTAGATGTAGACACACAGACATGTACACACTTATATAGGTGCAACTATACACGTAAATATGTATATATGTATGTGTGCGTACATGCGTGTGAGATAAGAGGGGGAAAGAGAAAGAGAGAGAGAGAGATTCTGCGTTTGCCAGTTGGACCAGGTGTTTTCGTTTTCCCTTGGACTGCCGGTAGTTTCCTATACTGGTCCTGCAAGGAAAGCAGATCAATAATGACCTTCGCCCCTAGGACACGACGAACTGGCGTCAAAAACACGGCATTGCAAAAATGAGAATCACTGATGGAGCTCTGAGCGGGATTGCTCTCGCCAGATCGATCCGCGAGGGTCCCAGGGGCCCTAAACAGGGCAGCGACGCCCGCCGTGTTTTTTACGACGCTTGGATCTGAGGGGAGCACCGCTGCCCTGATACGCAACACGCAGCCCCGAGCGTTTTGACACCAAGTTCAACACGTACAGCCATCGTACACCCATAAGAAACGCGAAACAAGGAACGGATGGGCTTTTCTGGCCACGGCGAGCCTCGGCCACCCATAGGCTCCAAACCGTAAATCGAGGGAACAGCCCAGAAACCAGTGCCCCTCCAGAGCCCAAGGTGATCCTGCTCTCAGCGCCTTGACTGTAGGTCGAAAGCGTGGGTCTGGCGCGGTGCGCTTACCACGACGCGAAACAGCACGTGCGGAACCGCCTCGCAGCGTGTTAACTCGGACGGCCTGAACCCGGTACGTGCTACGTGTCAGCACGGGCGAATCAGGGCAGCTCAGGAGGGGAACGCTTGGACTGGCTGGCGCAGCGAGGGCCCCGCATGTCGATCGTCACTCCCGGCCTCCCGGATGGCCTCCGCCATGCCGACCGCCGCGATGCCCGAGCGCTCCTGGAGCTCCAGGCACTGCAGCAC